TAATTTTTAAACTTTGAATAAAAAGTAGCATTAATTTGGGTAATAGTCCAATCGGAATCCGGTTTGGCAACAAAATATTCAAAACCTGAAGTTTTATGATTTTAAAAAAGGAAAAGAAATTCGTTAAATGCCCCACATGCCCAGCTACCTCCGAGAAATGGGGGGACGCAAAGCGTTGAAAAATAGTTTTTTTTCAATTTCTGGTTTACTACGGTTTCCGGTTTACGGTTTACGTTCTATCGAAAAATGATATTTATAAAAGTTGTAGGTCTAGTAAAAATCGACTACTTTTATAAATAACACTTTTTACAATAACTTCAAAGCTTTCGAGATATTTGCAAAAAAATCGGTTTTTTAACATTTTCTTGGTTTTTTATTTTTAATTTTTAGGATAATCTTTTGATTTCATGAAACTGAGGGAATGTAATCTTCCAAATACATATAATTAATTAATAAAAAATAAATTGAAATGTTTAGCCATTTCCAAGAAAAGTATGAACCAACTTCAACTTCAAATTATAAACTTAACTTCTTCATAGCTAGGATGTACGGCTACAGATTCGAAAGTCCTAGGTTCATGTTGTAGATCGGGCTAAGCATAGTTATTGAATCTTGTCCAGAAGTCTGGCATTCTGGCGCCTGATCTCTCAACATAAATGGCGAATTTATCTTACTAGACTTCGGGATTAAAAAGATTAGAGATTGAATTTTTATTTACACATGTTTTTGTGTCTAAATAAATGTGTGTATTATATCGTCCGAACAGATGGCTAGTTGCAGTGAAATTGACATCGGTTAGAAGGATGCAAAAACCCAAAGCTATATATACGTACCTACATTTTTTCTGGTGGAAAAAGAGACAGCACGGGTTAATGCAGACTATTCGGAACTAGAAAAGTATCTTATTATGACTGGAATGAAAAGAAATAAGCAATAAATCGAAATGCAAATTCTCTGTTGCTTCAAGGTGCGATAAAATGCTATTTTAAAATTGTATTAAACTCCATTTTTCACATCACAATAGTTCGCAAAACCGTTTAAACTAGAACCGTCTCTATAAAAATGGTGCAATAAAATAAGATATTTCCTTAAGAAACTCGCCGTCTCTTATTGTCAGTGATTCAGGCACTCTTGAAAACAATTCGCAGAGTGACAATTCATCTCCGCAAAAGCCTTTCCGCCGCCCACTGAATAAACTATGCAACTACTTGCTCATATTTCGTTTTTCTTACTGATTTTTATTGCGCTATTGGCAATGTTAAAAGATTACTTTGGGATAGTCATATATAAAGCTATGAATTATTTTTTATGCATTAAATCACTTATTCCTTTATCGTAATACTCGTTTACTTAATACTTTATCGGTTAAGTATTTGATTTATGTTTATTATGAGAAAATTGGTATACATCTTCATCTTCGTATACATTCTAGACGTATGTATAACCACTATGTATAAATTGTTAGTCATGGTATGTTATATTTTGTAATAGAATAAATGGCTCCTAAACCAAAAAAATATATTTTAGTATTGATTTATTTTTATGTACTGGGAAATAAGTTTTACTGTTTACCTATATTTAGCGACTAGTAAGGTAGTTCGTCATCCTCGCTTCGCTCGGGTTCTTTCATCCCTATGTTCACCCCCTTAAGGGAAGATTTTCAGGATAAAAAATATTCTATGTCCTTCCCAGGGTCTCAAACTATTTTCTTAATTCTTATCAAATTTCATCTAAATCGGTCCAGTAGATCCAGATCCTCTGATCCCCTACAACGTCACAAACTCACAAACTTTATCTCTTAATTTAGTTCGTCTCTAGCTTGCTTCTCAATACAAACTTTCATCCCCATTTTCACCCCCTTAAAGGATGATTTCAGGGATAAAGTGTCCTATGTCCTTTCCAGGGTCTCAAACTATCTTCTTACCAAATTTCATCTAAATCGGTTCAGTAGATCCAGAGATTACCCCCCTACAACGTCACATACTCACAATTTCATAAACTTTACCTCTATATAATATTAATATAGATAATATTTGTATTGTATTGTAAGCAAAGTTATCACATTATGTTTTTTTAAATTTAGTACAAATATTTATACTTGTACATATCTGTAAAGTTCTTCTAATTTTTTTTATAATATGGCATTCTCTAAAATAATAATATGTAAGTAGTTAAAATTTGTTCAAAACATTTATTTGTCTCGATTGAAAATTAAACCTTATATTTCCTATAGTTATTGGACTTTCATTAATATTAAAGTAATAAAAAGAGCAATCGTAAAATGTGTTATTCAGACTTAAAAGTAACGCTCCAAGATACTGGAGAAAATTCGTACTTTCGACACTTCACAGTTCTTATTTTTAAATCAAATAACAACTTCGCAATTGAAATGCACAGCAGTTGGATCTTTTCAATTTGTGTCCAATAATAGGGAGAAATATTTCATCGTTTGCTTGATAAATCTAATTCAATTAGAGGCCTCGGAAGCTCGTTTGCATGAGTTAGCGTTTTTAAGAGGTAGGAGTTGGCGGGATTTTTGACAAGTCGCGATTCTGCCTTTGGTGTTAGCCGACTAATGAAGTCGGGAACTTCGGAATAAAAAACGTACAGTCAGATTTTCAAACTAGGAGATCCACTTTTATGTAATATCGCATGTAAAATGTACCTATATAATAAATCTCTAATATTACAAATTCATGATTTAAAACTACCACAAAGTAAATATAGAACCAGATAGACAATTTTTTAACTTGAACTCCAATAATATATAAAAATTTTATTCTCATAAGAAATTTATAATTTTTGCAATGTTTTTAAAGTTTTTAAGGATTGTTATAAAGATAACAAACACTATTTATGTAATGAAATATTTATGTAGTTAGCACATAAATATTCATTTAGTTTTTTAACGCTGAATCGAACGCAATGGCTGATCTACGAGTATAATGGTATATTTAGTGAGTTTAATATTTCATTAGACACATAAGTTCTCAATTAAGTACTACTAATGTTACATTAATACTTAGCGGTGGAGGAAATAGACGGGGATTTCCATAATATATGGGGATTTGCTTCAAGTGAATCGTGTTCTATGGGAATAAAGTAATTGTTAAGGGAGTGAGCACTGTTAATGATGGCAAGATGTTCGAGTTTCGAGAACTATGCACGACAGACTCATAGCTCTTTATGTATGTTTGTTACCTCTTTATGTTGTAACGTGTCACCGAATTTCAGCAACATCCGACGTAGAGATGTATCCTGGGGGCTTAGACAAGATATCATACTACATTCGTTGAGGAATCAAAATTTCCAAATTTGAAAAAACTTTAAGACTCCAGACTTTCTTTAAAAGTTAAACTATATACGACTTTCTGTGAACACGAATTGTATATTTTTATGGTTCTACAGGGGCATATTGTAGTTGTTTTTTTAAATGTAATAGTCTAGGTTGCGGCTGTTGACTCGCTGTAACTGTAAGTAAAAGCTAGTTAACAATAAAAATGATCGTCTGTCCCAAACGGCCATAGCAAATGGTAATGCCGTCCGAACGCGATGTTCGAATCCAGTTTCGAATGCAAAATTTCATATTTGAATTTCAAAACGACCGACATACCCTCCAGCAAGAATACTCCTCATTCTTGCGCCGTCGAATAAAACAAGTTGGCTTTGCCTCGACTGAATGCCAATTTTGTTGACAGCACTTTTCCCTCGTGGCATGTCGTGTGATGTACTTTGTTAAGTAGTACTTGGTATTGTTATGTATTTAGTTAGATGATTATTATAAATATATATGCAAGTTTATTAAAAACTAGCATTGCCCGCGGCTCCACCCGCGTTCAGATGACCAAAAACCAAATTCTTAGGTTTTACATAGTATAATCTTACATTGCAATTTTTGTATTTTTTCTTAGAAATGAGATATTTTCCCGCAGTAAAAAGTATCCTATATGTTACCCCGATAACCAGATATCACTATACCAAATTTCATCAAAATCCCTTCAGTGGTTTTTCCGTGATGCGGTAACAGACATACAGACAGACAAAAATTCTAAAAACTATAGATTCGGCCTCTGTATCGATAATAATGTCTACTTCAATAAGATTTTCCAAAAAATATTTAATGTACAGATTCGGCTTAGTTAGAATTTTATTATATTTAATATAATTAGTTAGAATTATATGTATATAGATAATAATTAATTTACTTATGCTATTTTAAGCGATTCGAATCAATATGACAAAATGTGATTTTTATGGTGACATAATATCAGTCCGTTTGCCGAGAGAGCTTTTTCCTGAAGAATGTTGTTGCAGGAATTTAATTATTAGTGGCGATAGCAATAAATATGTTTAAGTGTGCCTACTAAATCAGGAGTCTCCTAAACTCTCAGACAAAAAGCTTGAGCTTGACTTGAGATAAGAACTTGAACCCGCAATGTAGAGCCTCAAGTTAGACATTTTAACCACTGCAGATGTATTTCTTGTGAATTAGAATAGACAAATTAGTAATTACATAGTATGTAAATGTTAATGATTTAAAACTAAAATTATGTTTTTACTGTCAAAAGTGCGCTTAACCTGTATATTTTATTATTACAAAATTATATGAGTATTATACAATTTATTACTGTCTTTACCATAAATAAAATACTAAAGGCAAAGTACGTTGATTTTCGATATATATTTTTTATAGAGATAATATATCCTAAAGTGACATAAAGTATTTTTTATCGTTTAGTGGTTCTAATGGAATATTGGTCGCTTGATCGAGGATATGCAAGAGAGCAACTCGTTATCGTCGAAACGTGGTCCGTCTCGCTAGGCCTCAGGGCGACGTGGTTGAATGCTTCAGTGATGCTGCGTCTCTCCATAGAGACGGGGAAGTTTTCATTGGGTTTTACTAGTTAGTGCTGGTTTATCCAGATGGTGAGTCTCCATATCCACCTGATGGTCTGCGTAAAATTCCCAAGGTGTCTAGAGTAATAAATAAACAAACCTACCGATGTCAGCCGCATGTAGCAAGTCAGCGAGTAGCTCTGGCTCGTGGCACGCGATGGCGAGCCGGTCGTCGATGTCGGCCGGAGTGGCCTCCCGCAGCTGCAGCGCCACGCCCTCACCGCCTACCGCCGCGCTGTACATCAACACGGCGCGCGGCGAGAACGTCGGCAGTGGCAGACGCGTGGTCGCGACCTGATGGTAAATGGATAATGTAACTTTGCAAATTTTTATCTATACTTTATATCTGATTGAGTACAATTATTTCGCAAATAAAGAAAGTTTGTTTGTTTGTATGTACATATGTATGTATGTATGTTTGTCACTTCTTCATGATGAAGTTGCTGGATGAATTTTGGCGAAGCGGAGTTTTGGATCATTTATATATAATTAAATAACGCGAGGAAAACTGCGGGCGAAATCTAGTGTAATAATATAATGTTACAGAGATATTATTTTTTCTTATTTCGCTATACTTAAGTTGTAAGTTAGTACATTTGGTAATAGATATTGTGACTAATAGACGTACAAACAGAGCGACTGCTATTATATCTTTCAGTTTATTCATTAGGTGTAAGGAGGCCAAAAACATTTATAAATTATTTAAAATAAGTATCTACTACCACGTGATCGTCCTCAGATATGGTATTATTTTAAAAGAAAAAGTTTTGCTTCACTGCAACAGGAAGTTTCCAACTTTATTTATTTGTGAAAGTGTGAGAGTTTTTGGTTGCGAATACCAAACTAACTAGGACACTGCGCTACTTTAGCTCTAATAATATACTAAGCTGGCGACTTTTATTCGCTTACTTTTATAGGTAGGTACCTCTGACCTCATGTGTAATAAACGGTAAATTTCAAATGTCATGCAATCTATAAACTTATATATAAACACATTATTGTATACCACAAAAGGAATATATAAAAAATTAAGATTTGGAAAGCGAAAGAGCTTTTTGTTTTTGCTTTTAAAAGTAGCATAATATTTTGAAATAACTAAATATATTTGTTATTAAAATAATGAAAAAAATATGCTTATAAAGTGAATAGGTAGATAAAAAAATATGTTAAAACATATTTGAAAAATGTATTATTTTAACAAAAGAATTTTAATTTTTCTGTAATATAATGAACGTAATATTATATTATATTGACAGGATAATTAGTATATTCTAAGGGGACAAAGCTTTGTGTTTTTTATGATTGGAAGGATATATTTTTACCACATAATCTTATCTAGAGACCATGATAATTCATAATATGGACTATCAGTCGAACAATTTCATTAGGCATGAGACAAGGCTCTATAATGGAAGTCATGCCATTAGTGGATAACACTAATAACACTGTGATACGACACCATTAGTTATACAACTATTAATTACAAGAGCATATACTTGATTTACACACGTGAACAAGTTACATTGATCTAATGTACAGTGTCAGCTTATATTACAAACTTACACAATATAAATATAGGTATTAAAGTTATTTATAACGAAAAATAATAATTTTATTTTTTACTAGCTTGATTCCCCATACAAAATTTCATCCCCGTTTTCACCCCCTTAATTTATTATTTCCGGCATAAGAACTATCCTATGTCCTTCCCAGGGTCTCAAAATATGTTTTGACTAAATTTCATCTAAATCGGTTCAGTAGGAGCCTATTCAGTACAAACAAACAAAGAATCAAATCATTCCTCTTTATAATATTAGTATAGATAATTTTAAAGAATATTTTACTTATTACTAGAGATATATCCTCCCTTCGCTCGGGTGCTTAGTTACTTCTGGTTGTAGTGTATCAAAATTTCATCCAAATCGGTCTAGTCGTTTCAGCGTATAGGAGTAACAAACATACACATATACAAAGTACCTATATGTATGTATGTATGTATGTATGTATGTATGTATGTATATCTTGCTACATTTTTTTCCCCAATGTTATTTTTTATTAACTCAGTATTGTAGCATATTGGAATTTGGACTTTAAATATAATACGAGAGATTATTAATTTCTATTTTAAATTGTGAGTATTGACTGAATTAACAATGTTTTGTTACAATTTGTTAACTTGAAAAGATAATTTAACTCCCGCAGAAAAAAGAAATATTATTAATATATAATTTTTTACTTAAAACTACCGTTAATTTAATTCAGACCTAAAATTCTTTTACAATATTTTTACGTTTTACTGTTTATAGATATCTTCAGGACAAAATATCTACATGCTTTATTTTAACCAGATCATAGAATTGGAACAGATGAATGTAACTCGAAAGTGAAATAGCGTGAAGCCCTAAGAAAATAAAAATATCTCATTAATTCTCAATTAATAATATACGCGTATTATATATTTATCTTATCCCATTTTTGTACAAACTGAAAATATGATATAAAAACCTCGCGTGCGTGATTAATAAGCTCAGGCATTGTTCGCAAACGGTATCCAGCCATATTCGTGGTAACTAAACAACAGAAAATACACAAACCTACAGGATACAGTAATAAATAATACGTAGTGCAATTATCGTCCGTATTGTGTTGTAATGTAGGCTAAAATGCTGTGGTCAGGATTTCGGATACCTGGCTCAAGCCTTACTTTTTCGCACGATCGACCTTATTTCGTGTGCCCTATTATTGACACGTGTATAGCGTAGTTAATTACTCAACCATATGTTCTAGTTTATTCGTAAATGTAATTTATACGAACCCTCGTCATTTTGAATAATGAAGTTTGATTGTATTGAAGGCTACGTCTTATTTTGTAAGGTGTTTCATATGCATTAGGCAGCTTGGAATCTAGATCAGGATATAGGATTTATGTACACACTGTGCGCCTTTTACGTTTTGATACAAAAACGTCACAACACGCAAACTTTCGTATTTATAAAAGTTATGTATGTAGGACGTGAGGGATTCGATTTTTTTAACTTTCTAGTAGGTGCATTAGGTACAAAAATTGTGAATTATTTATATATTTTTTATTGTTAAAACTGTTGGAACCCACACAATTGTATAGCTAGACGGTGTATTAAAGGATTATGTTAAATGACATCATTACCAAAATGTGTCCAGTCCGTTTATCTGACAAAACCAAATCACTGAGGCGGGAAAAATAAAATCGCAAAAATTCCCGTGACGCTATAAAATATAGGCTGATATTTTTTATGGGCAGTAAAATGTGAATGTGAAATTGTTAGCATTATATTGGACGTCACAGAGATTCATCTCAATGACTGGACATTGGATGGGCGTATAGCGCAGCGTATTTTATTCTGCCACACTTATTTAGTGTTGCAATGTATATTTATAAGTAAAATTAAATAAATTGGGTTATATAAGTAATTTGTATGACTAAAATCTTTAATTTTCACAGATAATAGCATACAAACGCAACACTGAAGAGAAATAACTATAATAATAATTAATTTTTTCACAAGGACTACGTAGTAATATCGAAATGAAATGCAAGAATTATTAAACGTATCCCATTTTTTAACCGGTATAATGGGTACAAAGTCAAGAACAACCATATATTGTTTTTTTAAAAAAAGAAGCAAATGTCACATTTCAGACACGCTTGCCGTAAAGGGATCATTTTGGGCTAAAACAGTTATACCAAGGATTAAAGTAGGCTCCCGATGACCATTAATTTTTTTATTGAGTTTAAAAGTTTGTAATATTATCTGCAGTTCCTATTAAAAATAAAAATTTTGTCTGTGGTGCGGCCGTCATTCACTGCACGAGACTACAAAATTAATGATTACTTTAATGTACTTTTTCACATCTTGGTCAATAAATAATAATATTGCTATCCATATATTTTTAAAATTCTTATATATTACATTGAAATCGTATTAGAGTAAGGTTTATGAGACAAAACATTAAAAAAAACGGTTATGGTATATACCCTACCTACAAATCAAAATATCGCAAACGATTTTAATTGAATAAGTATCGATGATCATATTGTCATTGTAGTAGCAGCTAAATACAATAACGAAAACAAATATAATTACTTAATTTATTAAAAACAAAGAATGAAATAATTTGATTTAATATACATAATGAACATGTACAATTTCGTAGTGGAGTGCGCGAAGTTTTGATTTCCCGCGAAAATTCTACAACTATTTGGTTTTTGCGGAAAAATGTCTACCAATGGAAATGTGAAGTAAATTATTGTTTATCTGCTCTGATAATAATCACTGTATATTATTACAATGTGATTGGAATTTACAATTAAAAACAGGAGGCATGGTTGCAATTCATATATCGTCGAGTGAAAATAAATAACGTTTCGTATTTTCATAATTATTTACTACTGATAAATATTTCATGTGATATTCGTGAAACGAATATCTTGATCAACTGTGTTGTTTTTTAATTTTTAACAAACTTATACACATATGTTCTATTTTTTTTAATAAAAGTGATGTAAGTAGGTATATCCTAATATGCTTTGCAAAATATTGCTATATAATACTATAAATTCTAATATTAAATAGCAATATTTTGCAAAGTATATCGAAATTGGAGTATATATATTCAATATTAAAACAAAATAAAAAAATACGTATATGTAATATATATATATATATACATATATATATATATATATATATATATATATATATATATATATATATATATATATATATATATATAAATATATATGAAGGGCGGTAGTAGCCCAGTAGTATCGTACTCGCTTTGGAAACCGAGTGAAGCGGGTTCAAATCCCAGGTCTCGCACCTCTGATATTTTTATGTACGAATCATTTCTAACATGATTACCCCTTGCCTAGCGGTGAAGGAAAACATCGTGAGGAAACCTGTATGTCTGAGAGAACCTAACAAGTTTTTGAAAGACATGTGAAGTCCGCCAACCTGCGCACTTGGCCAGTGTGGTGGACTATGGCCTGAACGCCCTCGTAATGAAGGGGGGCCTGTGCCCAACAGTGAGTACATGCCCCCTATTTAAATTCCTTTTAAAAACGTGCTGAATAGAGATGTAATATTTTTTTAAATACCAAAAATACACTACGTTCATAAAATCATTAAGCCCATCTTATTTCTAAAGCAAAATAAAAGTTACAAGATGAATTGCAAGGAATAAATTGGAGTTCTACATTAGCGATGCCGTTATTTTAAAGATAAATCTTCAGTTCGAATGAGCTGGCAAAAGTTTCTAGCAGTCTTTAAAACCTTTCCTCAGCGAATTTGTAATTCTTCATTTAATAAGGGTACACTTTAAAGGAGGATGCTGTTTCTTTTCTTAGTCTAGGTATAAATAGGATAGTAGATAGTTCCATCGTATTCCTTCTGGAAAAAGCAGCTTTTTTATCATAGCTTTAAGTTACTGATTATTTAAGTTTAAAAGTCAAGCAAAAACTTCTTCATTCAGTGTAAAATAATTAAAAAATTGGAAGTTCGTCGAATCAACAATACAAAGAATTACGTTTCCACTAAAAAGCTTGCATCGGAAAAACTCCCATCTATGATTAATTGGGGCTTACTGTATCGATTTTGTATTATCTACGGGCACGCTCGTGTTTTATTTTGTGTGCTTCATTTGTTTGCTGCGAGTTGCCTTTGGTTATGTTTTCTCTGTCGATTTTCAATTATTTAATTACCTACTGTCTAAAACAGAATATTGCTTATATTGATTTTTTATAACATTCTCCAATATTCTTTTAGTTAAAGCTAATGCTATTAGTTTTGCAATTTATATTTAACATTCTTTCATGAGTTTCAACAACCGTGTTTGTTTTTATATATTTTGTACTCTAACAAATTATTAAATTGTATGTATTTTGACTAACCAATATTTATATATAAATCAAATCTGCACATTTGCAGT